TCAGCCTCGGTTGCCTTATATTTAGCCTTAGCATCCCTCTTAGCTGCCTACTCGGCCACTAGCTTGTTCGCTTCAGCGATGTCTACCTCAGCTTGCTGGAGATGCTGCTCGGCCTCAGAAATGAGGCTCTCTGTAGGAGCCTTCTCCATCTGCTCTCGGGAAAGTAGATCTTGCGTCTTCTTCAGCTTCTCCTCGGCCTCCATGCGAAGCATTTGTTCGTCGCCAAAGTATCGTTGGAACTCGCGGCGCTTCTCCTTGGCGGTGGTGGCGGCTTGCTGTAGCTTGTCTTTCTCAGCCTCCAGCTTGTCCATGTTGATTAGGGTCAATTTCAATCGATCCCCTAGCCCAACAAAGTGAAGATAGACCTGCAACGAGAAAACAATTAGCACCAATAGATAAACGAAGAAAAGAAGGAAAGAAAAGGGGAGCAAGTTGTTACCTCGGTCGGGCTCTGCAGCCCTTCCTCATACAACCTGTTTGAGGCAATCCCCAACATCTGGAAGCGGTCCCGTGCTAGGAGATCCCCACTTACCAACGCCAGGCCAACTCCCGCATTGCGGATAGAGTCCCCCTTGCAGATTTCCCACTCAGGGCGAAAGATTTGATCAGACTGCCGGGCGAGCTCCTCCAACGGCATGGGAGCAAAAAACGGCCCATCCGCTCTATGTGGGATTCCCTCGGGGCATCACCGGCGGAACTCCTGGTGTGGGCCACCTTCTGCTGTGGTTGACCCCCCATAGCCCCCTCGGTCAACCTCTTCCTCCCTGCCTCAACCCCGTCGGTAGGTCCTCTCGGCACCTCGGCCGGATGTTGTGGCACTTGCTCCTTGCACCCCAGCTAGCCCTCCTCAATGGGCTCCTTCCCCTTTGTGGGGATCTGTGGAGTGGCTCCCTTCGGGAGAGCTATTGAAGAAGTCCCTTTGGTAGGGACCTGTGCTTTCGTCCCCTTGGACTCAGCCTTGGTGGGAAGACCCCCCCCCCTTTGCAGGGGCCGAGGCCTTCTCATTCTGGGCTGACGCACCCCCGGTGGGCCTCTGAGGCGTCTGTCCGCCAGCCTTCGCCTGCTCCTTCTGCAACATGCGGGCACGGTTCAGTATGGCCTTTCGAGCATCCATCGACACTTTTGCAAGCAAAACAATAGTTAGTACCATTACAAAAGACAAAGGCGAGGAAAACATATGAATACCCATAAACAATGAACTGAAATAAAACTCAATTAGATCTCACAATGTTATAGAATCAAAGCTTCCCTAACCCTTCAACCAGAAATAGAAACTTACAGACACTTCATGA